TTAGATCATTTGTCAAGAGAAGAAATTATTATCATTCTTTATGGGCAAATTTTAAACAAATTTCTGGGGAAACAACCATGTACGACACTCATTTTAATTTTGAATAATATTATCAGAATATTTTACTTCTTTTTAAGAAATTTCACAGGTTTTTTTTTGTATTCAAGCATAATGTCTGAAGTTACATTTCTATAATTACATTTTCATACTGAAGCATTGTAAATTTTGTCAATATCTTTAGTTGCATTTCTGTTATTACTTTATTTGATTGCATAACTATAATATAATGGCATTTCTTAAAGCTGAATATAATACTAGAAATGTATATCTATTCATCAAGTGACAGTATCCAATTTTTTTTCCAACAGCTCGAAACATTCACCTGAATTTAAAGTTAAGTCCGAGCTGTCGTTATGTGTTAGGCGATAGGATTTAGTTGTACAATACTAGTTAAAGTTCCAAAGCAATACAACAATTGCATTCAGACCGTAGTTCTATATTGTATTTAAATCATCAGTATTTCCTCCAAAACAAGTCCCTCCAAATGGACCCCCTACATAATTTACGCACTATCATTACTGCAATATGTGTTAATGTTATAATTGTTAGTATTAACCAATTAACAGATTGTTTAAGAAGTAGACCAAAGGTTCGGCTGTGAATAGCATAGAGGGAGCATTTAGGAAATTACCATGTCCTGGAACGAATTGAATAACTAAGCACCTTAAAGCCTGTTCTGTATTTTGGTCGTATGGTAAAGAATTATATTTCCTTTAGTAGTTATTTCTCCATAATTAAACAGACCTTTTAGTCTATACTCATTTTCTGAGAAATTTGGGATTCGAACATGTCACAACATGGGGGCTCCCCTACAGTTTTTCAACATCCGCTTTACTCCATCTTACTACTAATGTATCATTTTTAAAATATATATAAACATATAAAACCTTTTTAACTTCATAATCATCATTTTTTGTGAGGTAATAAGTTAGCACTAAAGTACTTTTTATACAGTCACTCGCTTATCTGACAGGTTGTCTAAAACAAAATAAAAAAGAGAGGGGACACTGTGTTTTCGGAAGTTAATCAAGGTCGCCTCATTACTAAAACATTTTATATTGTGAGCATTTTAAACTGATTTACTACTGTTTTAATTTACGGTTACATTTCATATCCTTGTTAAAATAGGATGAATTAACATCTTGAGAAAATCAAATGAATGACTCAGTCGTTGAAAGTATAGCACATTTTTTTATCCGCTTAAAGATAAAGGAGGGACAATTTACGACAAATTAAAGTCTACATTCGTGCCGAAATTACAAAATAAGAGCAGTTTAAGGAGAGAATGTGACGTCCGGTTTCCTGCAGGTGCGAGTAAACAAAGTCCGCTTCTGTTGTGATCTTGCATGCCTTATCTATCCTGAAACTATCAAATAATTATGTCGAAATTAATCCAATAACACAAGATTAGTGATAACAAATTCAATGTATTTGAACAACCGCTAGTAAGTTTCAAAGAGACATGTGAGTGTTTTTAAGATACGATGCTGTCCGCGGCGTTAACGAGTGTGATCTCCTTAGCAACCGCATCTGTCCACTATCGTCCATATTGAATGACATTGCGACTTTATCAAGATATAGCCCGATGGTGAAAAATCTGGACTATTGTACCGTTAATACCCTGTCAAATAATTTTGATAAGATTTACGCTTAGTGTTTGTTAATCATTTAATTAGAGAAAGTATAATTAATTTAATAGCTATTGAATAATATTGCATAGAAGTGGAAAGTATGATTTATTTAGATAGTTATTGAATAATATCGCATAAAAGGGAAATGATAATTAATTAGTGTAACATAAAATAAATAACATTGCATACATTAAAATCCTATTATTTTTCCTTTATCTCTATTCTTTGGCCATATTTGTCATTAAAAATATTCTTATGTTAATGTATCCTTCCTTATATTAGATAAAAACTTATATAATTTATATAAGATATAATTTAATCTTAAATTTCGATTATTTACTTTATTCGATTAAGAATGATATATCAACAATATACGATTTACATTTAAATTAATGAGCGGATCACGTGATATTATAGACGCTTCATTCAAACACACTGCGTCCATCGGGTGGTCGCACAAATGTTTAATATATGAGCCGCGTCACGAAAAAACCAACATAGTGCGTTTGCGACCAGCATGGATCCAGACCAGCCTACGCATCCGCGCAGTCTGATCAGGATCCATGCTGTTCGCTAACAAACCCTATAACAAGTAGAGAAACTGATAGCGAACAGCATGGATCCTGATCAGACTGCGCGGATGCGCAGGTTGGTCTGGATCCATGCTGGTCGCAAACGCATTACGTTGGTTTTGTCATGACACGGCTCATAAATATGTTTAATATATGTGAAAAAGGGCAATTTTTATACAAATGAGACTTTGACAATAATCAATGACATATAGCATTTATTTCGGACTGTAAAAGAAAAAGGAAAACGTTTATATCATACACTGTTGCGCTTGTAAAGCAGATATATCACTCCGGTAAAAATGGCATAACTCTAGTTCCTCACAATGTTTACATTTTCTGACAGTAAAGGGTCAAAAAAGCAACAGCATCACGTTTGAGAAAAAAATATCGGATGAAACTTGTAAAAAATAGAAATAATGATGAACAATGATATCTGTCAGTCATTTTAAAAAAGATATGACATAACATTGATGGATATTTAATTTTTCAAAACAAATAAATGCTAAAAAATTGAAAAATAAAATGTGAGCATTTTGTAGGGAATGCATAGAAACTGTATGTAAGTTAAGAAAATAATACAAATAATTTTAAGAAAAACAAAATATGCTTAAAATACGGTAAGTTTTGACTCTCAAAACTGAATATGTTTGATATCCGCTGCAAATCAATGGTTTTTTCTCCTAATTCGTAACTAAGACTGTTCATAGACTTAACGTCTGTAACCGACGCGTTGATCTCTCTCCGGCTCAGGAAAACAAGACGAGGAATTTATTCCAAGTTTCTGTCAACAAACTTTCTCGATACAGTCTTGATTAAATCGGCATCCTTCAATGTGCGCTGCTGCTATTTGAGAAGTTAATTTTCAATTTGTCTCCGATTAACTGGCACGATAAACGATTTTTCCCTCCCATTATCACGTACGAGTCATTCATTGCGTTGATTACATAGTTCTCGGGGGACCAGCGGTATTATCATTTGAAAGGCTCCGAGATCCGACCACTTCGAAACACTATAAATGGAATTAATCCCATAGACCGGATTGATAGAAATTGTAACTTTAAAGGAATGACGAGTAACAATGGCCGTTTGAATAGCCGACGTTCTGGTAAATTAAACTAGTTATGTACATTTAATTTAATGTTGAGAGGCCGTTTGCGCTTTCTGATGGCGACAAATTTTATTAGGAGGCAGCTTTAAGTGAATAAGGAAACAGTTAAATGGTGGTTTTTGCTGACAATGTCTCCAACTGAATGGAATTAATTGGACATTTTATTTGGCGTTGAAAAGATGGCCATTTTAGTAATTGGAAACAATTAGGATACAGCACAGTTGAAATGTTTTATAGTTATTTGATAAACATTTAAATTGATTACGAAGATTAGTGTCAGTGTAAATGAAGTTGTATGACTCCATGGTAACTGTCTATGAAACTCTGATTAAAAATATTGAATTTGTAATCATGTAAGAGCCCTTAATGCGTTCTTTCTTTTTATTATAAATTAAGAACCATTTAAAACACACAAAAAACTATTTACGTCGAAATGTGTTTTCATATTGAATATCTTTAAATAGGTTACCTTGATATGTCTTGACCATTTAGTATGTGTAAATGGTCAAAAGCAGTTGAAATGCCGATTTGCTAATAAATGAAAAGAAATGAAATGATAGTCGAAAATATTAAATATAGGTGCCTATTATTAACACTGAAATTTAATAGAATTGACAAATAAAATTACATTCTTAGCAGTCATCAAATTTTACACAGTATACATGCCATTTCAAAATTTGAGCCGCGTCACGACAAAAACCAACATAGTGCGTTTGCGACCAGCATGGATCCAGACCAGCCTGCGCATCCGCGCAGTCTGATCATAATCCATGCTGTTCGCTATCAGTTTCTCTACTTGTAAAAAGGTTTGTAAGCGAACAGCATGGATCCTAATCAGACTGCGCGGATGCGCAGGCTGGTCTGGATCCATGCTGGTCGCAAACGCACTATGTTGGTTTTGTCGTGACGCGGCTCATTTCATAATATAAAAGGACATGTTCATATAAAGATAGTTAAGTTTTGTACAATTGACATAAGAAACAATCACTTTAACATCTAAATTATGATATAGTAGAATGTATATAATTTATTTTATTAGCTCGGAAAAAATACTTAATTGGAACACTGTTTCTATATATATTTTTTTTAGATTTTGACTGTGAAAAAGTACTTATACCTATGTAACAGTGCAAATTTGTAAGTCACATGGTACGTTTAAACTTTAATTAACAGTAAGAATAACAATAATCAATACAATTCCAATTGTTAGTGAAAATCATCTAATATGTACATGCAAATAAATGAATAATAATAATAATAATAATAATAATAATAATAATAATAATAATAATAATAATTATAATAATAATAATAATAATAATAATAATAATAAAAATAATAATAATAATAATAATAATAATAACAACAACAACAACAATAATGATAATAATAATAATGATAATAATAAAAGTATGAATAAACATGATGTTAATGAACGTTAATACAAAATTATCCTATCATTGCATATGCAAATATAAACAAACAATACATTCAAATTATGCATAAACTTGAATATTATCCCTTTTCATACGCATTCATTCTTTGCATATTTGAATATTAATGAATATCAATACAAAATTATCAGATTATTGTATTGTACTTTAATGTTCATTTGCAACCTATTTTCAGCACAAGCACAGAATAGTTTGATGGGTAAAACACGGAGGCCCCGCACAGCATTCACTTCCCAGCAACTTCTCGAGTTAGAGAGGCAGTTTAAGATGAACAAATATCTGTCTAGACCTAAACGTTTTGAGGTGGCTACAACACTAATGCTGACAGAGACACAGGTTTGTTATCAAATTTTAAACATAGAAGTTAAAACATTATTCTTCTTAATATGGATCTATTTTTCCAGTATATTGTATAGTTTTTAATAACTGTCAATGAAAAGGTTGAATTGATCCGAGTCTGCAACATACATTGTATTTTGGCATTCTTTGTAGAGATTTCGGTTTTCTCTATTTCTACCTCTGTATGAACAGTCCATTAATTAATTCAAAGAGTATGTGGATTTTTTTAAGTTTATATACATTCTTCAGTTTATTAATACTTTCATACAAATATGATATGAGGAATTTCTATGAGAAAAGAATTGCTTTTGATCCAATTAAAATGACACATGGTATAAGAGGCTAGTGACGCTCTATCACTGATATTTTGCTTATAATATTACTGATTTACTCATTTCAGTAATAAATTATATAAAGTCCTTCATTGAGATATCCACAAAAGAACAGACAAATATACTAAAAACATCGAGGCAGTTACAGCCTCATCTCCTGTAGAAATCATAATCAATATCATGTTTTGACAGGGTCATAAAGCATCGCCTTGTCTCAAGTCTTCGTGATGTCATCCATGAGTTATTTTTTCATGATATATCTTCTAAATGGACGTTGTTTATTGCACCAATATTCTTTAACAGTTTACCTGTTAACAGCCTTAGTGCCTTACTAGTTCTGGGAAGTTTTTCTCTGTGTATTATTGCATCATACGAAACAAATATCTTAAAAAATATAAATTCTAAAAGTAATTAACTATACTGAATTCTTACAGGTTAAAATCTGGTTTCAAAATCGCAGAATGAAATGGAAGAGGAGCAAGAAAAACTTTACAACCAAACCACAAAATGGTCAAACAAACTCGTCAATGGCGGACGGTAACCAAAACGAGGCTGGCAACGACTTTCATAATGACGTAGATATAGGAGATGATGAAGACGATTCGGATATAGATATTTCGGATGACCAAGATATTGACATTGAACAAAAGAGTGATAATGAAGACATTGGAGTTCGCGATGAAGAGGTTAAAGACTCTCAGAATGGGTGTGGCACACTAGACTTAAGCATGAAAAGATTCGCTTTACCGGGTCATATGCAAATCTCGAACTTTTCTGTTGAGAGCAAGTTATTAAGTGCCACTTCCGTCTTGTGACTATGAATTATGGTTTCCTTTTCCTGTTTCTCTGTGCAATTTTAATATGTTTTTATCGACAAATGACGTCATTGAAACCAGCAATGGTGGTATTCATTATTATAACATTTATTCGCCCGTTAAAATATCATCGATATGAAAAGTTTCGAAGCAGACGAACATTCGGTGATGTTTCGTTATTGGCCAAACCTTATAGGACAATTGTAAGCTCAAGCAATAATAACTTTAAGCAGCCAGGTCTTAGCACATTATTGCAGCCAGTGTTATGTAATTGTAAGAATAATAAGTAATTTATTTATTCTTCATGTGATTTCCATTTGTTTGACTTTCTTGGAAGTCAAAATTCAGACTAGTAATGGTGAAAATTGTTCTTGAGAGACAATATATAAAGTGCAACGTTTCTCACCCAGTAGCACACGGCGTAAGCAATATTTAATAATAGTATTAAAGGCATTAAAAGCAATGCTCTCGAATGAAACACTTGAAAATTATTTTATGAGAAAAAAAAGAAACCACTCTTTAACCATAAAAAGTGATAAGTGTTTGGCCACCGGTTTTAATTGCATTTCGTTACTTAAATGGTTTAAATTCAAATGGAACGTCCCAAATCTAAATCAGTGCAAATTCATTTCATTTAAAGTTTAACTTTCGAAATTTGATAATTACTAGATAACTACCTATTTCACAAAGTTTATCAACTTCCGACGTTTCGAGGGGATAAACCCCTCTTTACCAAGGAGTTTGCTGTGATTTCGATAATTACTTAATCGGTAAAGAAACTAATAACGGCAAAAGTGGAAGATACAAATAGTCTTCTTTTGCGCGTACTCGTACGCTAGTACATTTTGTATCTTATTTTGCTTCTGTTTCTCCCTTTTATAAATCATGTAATAGATTGTCACGTATATTTAAATTATGTCATAAATGTATTATTAAAATATAATGAAAAATATTCCTGAATTTTGTTCGTTTGTTTTTACGCCTGTTCGTGATGGTTTTTACAGTTATGTTTGTACTTGTTACACGCATATATATTCCATACATTCTGCGAAACAATATAAAAGTACACCTGATCTTATGTTAAGCTTCCTTTTTTATGCCTGTACTTTTTTATCTATATTTATTTTAAATGATATATTCATAACTGAGTAATCGAAATGCTCAAAAATGCGGTCACAATGTCTTTCACTTTCGTATAGATCTATAAGAACTATGGACATCTAATCAATTGTAATGAATGAAAAAAGGAACAATGATATAAGATTATTGATCAACTGTGATATTGTTAGAATTGTTTCATACATATAGGGTGTTTCATTATATCTGTCCTTAATCTAAGCGTTAATATATTGAACACATATCAGTTTAAAATGAAAGTTTCACAGACATAATATTATTAATCATTTGATATATAATTTGACAATGACATAAAAACATTTTTATATGTAAAATAATAACGATGATATGAAAACTTATTATAAGAACAAATATTATGAAAGCATCCGGTATATCCATAAACCGTCTCAGTGCAATCATGTGTACAAATCTGCAGTCAACAATCAAAACTAAACGAGATTTTTTAAAGTTTAGTTAAGGGCGATAACATTATACTTTTGAGATTTATATAACAAAATAATAATAAAAGTCTCTGATTAAACGATATTAGAATTTGAATTTTAGAAAGAAAAGCATGATTATAATACATGTCTCTCCTGTGCTGTAAATGGATAACATTTGTGAAATTTCATGCCCTTTTTACCTCAGAAGATAGTTTAGATGTTTTTCACATAGAAATTATTACCTCCTCTGGCCGCCATTTTGAGGGTCATTTCCAATATATCATATGCTAAAGATAAGATAAAAATCTCTCATAATTATATCATTTTCGTGAAAACTGATGAACTATTGGTGCTATCTGCATCTTTTTAAAAAAAATTGCGTTCATAGTTTGCCATTTATATTATATTGAATGTTGACCATCAAAATGACTGCCAATTTTGGCTAGGGAGGTAAACATTTCCCTCGGCCCTCGGCTTAACGAAGTCGGCATTGAAACTCGGCATTGAAAATAACGACAAATCCAATAAGTAAATATTCTGACATTTATTTCATACACGTTTTCAGCCCAATGCCCACCTAGGGTAAGCGCATTTATTTCTTGTACTCGCAGGAAATTACACAAGTTGTATTTTTAATATATGCTTGCAATAATACATACAGTGTTCGGAAGTAAAAGGTGTTTGTGCTCGCAATAAACCATACACATAGCATTTTATAGACTCGCAATCACTGATACAGTGACTCTGCATGTTTTTATTTACATGTACCTGCTGTGGAAAGTGGGTAAGCTTTTACTATAATAAATGATAAAAACTACAAATCTATTAGACTTTTGTTAAAATTTATCGGAACTGTCGACTAAAATGTGTATTTAAGCATGTTATAAATCGTTGTTTCTTTGATAAAACGATTTTACTTCCGCTTTTTCATAAAACATATAATTCAAAATAAATATGTTCTTTCCGGTGTCGCGTAAATCCGGTTTGGAGTTGATAGTATTAGAAGTTCGCTGAATTCGCTTTCTATAGTAAAGGCCTATACAGGTGGTCCAGACGATGACTCTTGTCTAAAGTGATTGATACTTTTTTTTCAAATCCAGTTATTTGAGAAATGAAATTATAATAAATCTTCCGGGTATGTTGTGCTTTTTCAGAAAATAAACAAGCAAAACTCAAGCTTTATATCTTGATTAAAAAAAAACAACGATTAATATTGTTTTAATTAATTTGCAATTAAAATTCCAGAAAAATATACGTAACGTTTCCTTACTTTAGGACTGAATTTTTTTTAAATAATTTGCATTTTTATCCCTCTCTATTCTCCCTAACATTTGCCTTCCGGGTAATACTTTACTTAAAATATTAACTTTCCGGAAACGCGGAGTGATTTGCTTCATGTTCTATTTTCTTTTCCAAAGTATAATATTCTTGCGCTGTAATAAAATATATAATGCATTATGTTATCTACAAAGTAATTTACTTTTGAAAAATAATAACAAATGCCTTTAAGAATAAAAATATGTGATAATAAGTAATTTACTTTTTTGGGGGAAAATGCCTTTAAGAATAAGATTGTTCTGCTTTAGACAGAAAAAAAACATTGAATACAAAAACGGAATATTGGAATGTTAATGTTAGTAGTCTAAAAAAGAAAGTGAAGGCTAGATTGACAAATGGTTGTAAATGCCAAAGAATTTGGTAATTGCGTGAAAGAACCAAGTCCCCACATAGCAATGGACGTACATTATTAGAAATTAATTGGAGGTTTTTGAACTGTAATCGGCAATCAAGAAAATTAGCAGATAAGCTCAGTGGCTAGTTAGTTTTACAAGCGATAACGATGCTAGAGTCAACAGATGAATTTACGATAAATATGACATTAATTAAAGACCTCCGTAACATATGCCATGCCTAGATACCCACGCCACGAAACGTCACTACGTCACCAGGATAGTCTGATTGCTAAAATTAAAATCTTAACATGGTTATAGTTCATTTAATGATAAGAAACTAAAGTTCTATCCACACAGCGATAAGGCTTTGAAAATAAACACATTTTAAATGAGTTTCAAACACATTTGCGACTCTGATTGATTTGGCCCGCGTTCATTAGGCGAAATCTTTACTTCATTTATATCGCTGCCTTCTCGCAATTATTAAACATATTTGTCAGGCCGTGTCGTTTCCGGGGGATTTCTTAAGAGTATTTATTAATAGATAATCTATCTGAAAGAGTGGCTGCTCCTGAAAGATTTATAATACATTCTAATGTATGACAATTCATACGAAACGACGCAATACAGTGTAATTTATACAATAAAAACATCAACAATCCATTGAAAAGATGTTTGCAAACAGAAGTATTTATCGATATTGAATGATCAGATTTTTTTTTGATAAAGAAAAAAAATGGCAAATGAAAAAAAGAAGAAAAATAATTATTTCTTAAGTCTAAAAAAAATGATTACATAAAAAAGACATTTGTGAAAAGATATGTATTAAGAGATAAGTTTTTGTTAACCGTTTTTCTTTTCTTTTTCTTTTTTCATTCTTTTTTTTTCATTACACTTTTTATCTTTTGAGTTAGTTAGATAAATTTCTAATACATTGTACAGTACATTTTAATTTAATTTTTCAGATAAGACTGCTTGTCAATTCTTATCAATTTGGTCGATGAAAACTGAGCTTATAAGTTTCAACTTATGAATTCAATAATGTCTAGAAAAAAATAATGTAACATTTAAATTGCTAGAATTAGAGTGATAATCATTTGTCACCAGTATAGAGCCAGACGGACTAGGATAAAAGCCGCGTCATGACAAAACCAACGTTATGGGTTTGCGACCAGCATGGATCCAGACCAGCCTGCGCATCCGCGCAGTCTGACAAGTAGAGAAACTGTTAGCGAACAGCATTGATCCTGATCAGACTGCGCGGATGCGCAGGCTGGTCTGGATCCATGCTGGTCGCAAACCCATTATGTTGGTTTTGTCTCATATATACTGTTGGGTGACAAACTTGCTTTGATGCGTTCCCCGAAATGTAAATAGATAGTCCCAGAAATAAAATTCAAGAAATTTTGAAGGTTAAATGTTTATGTATAAAAAACATGTTATGTCCAGGTATTTTTGTAACGAAATAAGGAGTATTTAAACCTTTTTAATTATTAATTGAGCTTATTCAAATATGTTTTAACTTTGATGAGATTTGCTGCATATTTTAGAGACGAGAAAACAACACTGTTATGCTGCTTCTCCTACTGCTGCTGTTGTTGTTTGTTGTTGCTGTTGTTGTTGTTGTTGTTGTTATTGTTTTATATTTAAATATATGTCGATGATCTTTCCGAATATTTATAAAGGCAGGCAATATAATCAAACAAATATAGATTCGTTAAATTCCTTGAAATTGCAATAAATAAAAAACTTTTCGTTCTTATTTTAATTCGCATTAAAAGTTCTTGTTTTTTTGTTGTTTTTGTTTTTTGTTTTTTTGGCATGACCAGACTATAAATATTTTTCCAATTAAATGCAGGTCTGAAAAAAATAACTTGTGCAAATTTTAACATCATTTAATCACCCCGTATTACCAGAATTATCGTTTTTATTGAGCAAAATGACCCAAGTTGGGCTAAGAATTGCAATAACTATAGTTTTTCAATTTTATTCTTAGTATATTTCTTTTTTATCCTTGCAGATATTTCCATTTTAAGTGCTTTACTTGAGCTATGTACAAAATTAAAATTTTATGTTTTTAATCTTTTTTAACCGCAGTGGAGCTCCTATAAAAAATAAACAACTGTTAGGCTAATGCAAAAGTTAAAGACATACACATAAAAAACACAACGTTTTTAATAAAGTCAAAAATATTAGGCATGCATTTTCTTCAGCCGCAAGACAGAAAATATGAAAATACAAAAATCATGTCTTGAAAGACATTTTCATACAAAATGGATTTTTTTTTTGGCAAATTGTTACTTGCCGGGTGAAAATGTGAGCAATAGTTAATCAGTTAAGTGAATATAATGCAATGTTTCTGTGTGAGGCATACAAGCAAATAAAGGCACATTAACTCGGCAATAACTGAAATTAGCGGAACTATATGTGATCCTAAGAATTTGATTTCTCTATTAATCAAACGATGAATAGCGTCGAAGGTCTTGATGGTAAAAGACGGGACAATTCCCTTGCCATTGTTGAGCTCAAAGCAAAATTACTTCAATTAATTAAAATTGGTTAGCGAGCAAATATTTGTAAATTCGTCAATGCGGACCGTGAGCGAATGTCCCGTTGCCGAGCATTTGTTTTCATCCACAGACGCGTGCTTTTAATCACTTTACCATGATATCAATTACGAACTATTTAAGAAAACGTTTCGAAGACGATTGCAGAATCAG